ACTTGAACTGCAGCCTCTCTAATTTTTCTGTTTGTACATCACCGTCTGCATTCAAAATTAAACTTGTATTTAAAGAGAAGCAAAACATTTGTATAACTTCTTGATGTTCGTGTTTCGGAAAAAATAGGAAGCTTTATAGTGCTTTTATTTGCTAGCTTATACGTTGTACGTATGTAGGAATTAATTACTTCTCATCTTAAAATTTTAATAATTTCGTTAGTAAACCTTTCTCACTCTTCAAGAAATACTTCCCATTATATATATATATATATACATATATAAAAAAAAATTTAAAAGATTGTATTTATTTTATTTATTTATTTATTTTTTTGATAAATTCACACAGTTCGCACTGCATTAGCCAATGATGACTTCCAAGTATTCGGTTGGAATATGACTTATCGGGTAACGTTATTTTCCTCTTCCTTTTGCGGGTTGTGTTGGGATACCTACAAACAGGCAAAAACAGTGTTGAAGAGGGAGGTAAAATGATTTTTCCAGCGGTGATAAGAACCTGTATGACAGCTTCACTTTCATGTGAAATGGTAAAAATTACTGTGAAAAGAAGCAGGTTTGAGAATGATGTGCAAAATTACTGAAGCTACAGGAAAAAGTTTTCTTTCATTGAAACCAGCTCCAGTTACTGCGACCATTTATTTTCAAGCAATCAACGCATTCTAATTTATTATTAAATGCATTATATCTGCTCAAAAAATAAACTTAGAAAGATATAACATAAAATAATTTTATTGATCCTGAAATATCTTAAACTTGTGAGTAAAATGCTCTAAGAAATGTAACTGTTACATAAAATAAAAAAAATAAGCGTACGTTATAATATCTCTAGGAAAGCCTTAAAGATGTTAATTATCACGAATTATCATTTAAGGCTTTCACAAAACCCAAACTGCCTGGAAGACTCTCGGCAAAAGTGGAATAGAGTTAGGCAATAACCCCTCTCTGCTGTGTCCTAAATAAATAATTCCAATAATCTTCTTTTACAGAGCTGAAAACTACAATAGAAAGGAGTTAAATAAAATGTAAACCTAGAACATAAAATCGTTAACTAAAATATGTTCGGTTGTGGTTTACATTTTACTTAACTTTTTCTATCAGATTTTTAATTTTAATCGGAGATTTCATATAACTATCGTTACTAATATTCACTACTTAAGAGTACTTGAAATAGATTCAAAATTTGAAGAAAAGGACTGTAGTGTTTATTATTCAAAAGGACATTTCAACACTACAAATTTTTGCACAGGCATTAAATAAAGAGCTGGCTCTTATTTTTTTTTCCTTAATTATCATCTGTATTTTGTAATTTAGCAAATAAAAACATTTTATATTTTTTAAACCCTACAGTCTTTGTTGAAATAAATTACAAAAAACCAAAAATAAATAAATTCTTCATTTGATTTAAACAGCTTTTGGATTTACGAAAGAAACAAAATAAAACCACATTTATTCGGATTATCCTATTATCCGAATAGACTATAATTCCAGTTTTCTGGATAATTTAATTAATTTAATTGTAATTTAAACTAATTTATTATTATTTATCAGTAGTAGATAATTTGTAAGGATCTTAAGTTTTACTAACGTTTATTTTATTTTAAATCTTTACTATCACTTCTTATTTTCTACTTCCGGCCATAATTAAAAGCTTTAACTTATTTATGCAAATTTGTCTGGCGAACGCCAAGTACTTAAGTTGTGGCTTTTTGCCAAGCAAGAGTGAGGAAGGAGTTAGTAGAAGCAGGCCGCTTGCCTTAGCAGTTTTACTCGGTTGCTGGTTGCCTTCCAGGCCAGAGGTTTAATCCTCATGATAATTTTAAACGTATCGTAGTGTTAACAGTTCTCTGTACTACATACGGCTTCCTGTTAATATACGGTCAATCTTCTCGAAGGCCCTTGTTTGTTATTCCAAAGTTAAGTTAGAGTTTAGTTAATATTTTTATATTCTTACGTTCAGACCACAAGTGGTTGGTCTCTGTATAACGAAGTCCGGAAATCATTGTAAAGAGTGAAAAAATAAAGGATTTCGTATACCCTTCCTGTGTATCTTGTCTACTTCCCACATTTATTGAACATAGCTTTAGTAAGCTCCCTGTTCCGAGTCAGGTTTTTGAAAGTTCCCAAAGCAAACAAGGAGAAACACTGAACCTGATAAATTGAGGTAATTTAATAATTCGGATGAAATTACAAATAATTTAAGCAAAATAAGAATCATTTTAATTTACAAAAATTAACTCCGAAATTATTATAAAATGTATATCAGATTTAAATGGCAAATCACTAAATAGCTATACTGTGTTCCAAAACTTGAGCAATAATAATTTATTAAGGCGTCTTTTTTGTGATTTAAACTACATTCCATTATTCTTATAAAATTCTTCAACATATCGCATTTACGATAATGACACCCTCTTACTGGAGGCACCCATTTGAGTGTTATAAAGCAATTCATATTCCAAATTCATCAAAGAAATAGCTAAATTAGCTTAATCTCACGCATAAAATTTAGAGAAACTGTCTCCATGCGTAAGCTGTACTCAGTGCATTTTATAACTGTGAAAAAACATGTATTAAATAATTATAATTAGATGCATTCAAACAATAATCCATCATATACAAAATAGTAAGACCAGCTTTAAATTGAATAACAAACTAGTAGAAATGCTTCTGCATCTGAAATGACGCATAATTAAAAATAAAGCTATCTTGCTTCCAGTGTTACCAAAACATATGAATATAATAATTCTTTTGATACCTATATTATTTTCAATAATGAGCTCAATAAATGTCATATCATTAATACTTTCATCCATTTTTTATACATTTCATCCATATTCATCCATTTTTATCATATTGAGAAATCGGTGTTCATGATAACCAAATATAAATATAAATAGCAAAATATGAAAATAGATGAAGTGACTTTGTTTTCCCTCCTCTAGTAGTGTGTATGTGTCTGTAGAGGAGCAAAGACAAGAAAAAAAAAAAAAAAAAAAAAAATTAATTAATTTTAGCTAGTAACAGTACATTTAATGTAATATAAAAAGTCTTATTTTTTCTTTAGATATTATTTGAAATGAATATTGGTACTTAACGTATCAAGTGTAAGGATGTGAAGTATTTTGATCAAATTCTTAAAGTTAGGAAATATCATACGTTAACTCTTAATTAAAATTGTAGTGTTTCCCAGTTTTTTTACTTAGCAACATCCCGATATGCATCACCGTCACGATTACCTCAGGGATACAGCCACAATTTTTTAACATATCTTTCACTTTAAAACGCCTGTTTCAGTTCACACACAAAGGAAACACAAATTAACTTCAAAGATGGAAAAATAAATTTACTTTTTTATTATTATTTACTAAGGCATACTATTACTGTTGCTATTCGAACTAAGGCACTAAACGGAAGGGAAAGATGCCTCCGTGGACGACATTTTAAAGGAACTGGCTCGTATTAACACGTTACACATGGAAAAAACAACAAAAACGCCCATGCAGCCAGCCTGTTCGCGGTAATCGAATCTCGGACCGAACTACCAGTGTTCAATTCAAATTGAAAAATTTTAAAAAAGGAACAATAGAAATTATGAAAATTATTACTGAGTCTGAAAATGTTATATTTGAACAGTCACTGTAATTTATTATTATATTGTTATATAAAAAAAGTTATAAGAGTACAAGCAATCTATTGTAAATTACTTTATTATGTATATTTTATAAATATTAATTTAAGTAAATTCAAGTTGGATTGTATTGTATGAATTCTTTTTATTGTGTTATTTGTAATCAAAATAGATTGCAATTGATGTAATTTTGTTTTGTTTTGTAAAATGTTTTGTTTAAATAAAGGTATTTGCTGGTGAGGTCAGCAAATCTTCCCTTAGAGTATGAGTACGGTATGGTGGTTTCATAAAAAGTTTTTGAATGGTTCTATTAATCCCTGCTTTTGCCGCAAGGTAGCAAGTTTAAAATATCAGTCATACCAGTGTTCAAGGACATGACCGCTCGGCCACTGGTGGCCTATAAATCTTAATCTATGATTTTTTGACAGCATACTGCTAACCACAGCAGAAATTCAATGAATCAAACTAATTACTAAAATACAGAATTCGAGACAAATGTCAGTTTTTTCCAAGCGATTTCCATAACTCAAACCTTCCCCTTCCTCTTCATGGCTTTTTTTTTTTTTTTTAGTTTTCCTTTATAAGCATTCAAGCACATATCTACAAAATCTATTGAAAAGAGCATAATGTTTCACAAATTGAAGCAACAATGATAAATCCAGTTCAGCTGACACACAGTGCAGAACTAGTATCCGTAATTAATGTCTTTAACAAGTCATTTTAATACAGTTAATTTAATAAGTTTTGAATTATTCACAGTGGAGTCTTATGATCAAAGAATGATTATTTCTTATACAATAAAATTAATGATTAATTCGCAACGATATGCAGTTGAAATCAATACTACAAATGCAAAGCCGAAACATAAATAAAGCCAATGCTTCAACAAAATACCTTTTTAAAAGCTTTATAACTAAAAATTTTCTTTTCATTAGATATTCTAATGAAACAATAATGGTTAATAATGGATTCTCGACCTTTAGAAATTTAGACAAAATTAATTAACTGCGAAAAAATTATGTTGCGCTGAAGTTTCCTTATAAATGTATAAATGTTTTGATCCGAGTAAAATTCCTTTACCAAAATTTGAACAATACAGTAGAATATATCCTGAAAATATTAATGTCGAAAAAATAGAATACGTCCTGAAATATTAACGTTAATACCTGAAAATATTAACGTCGTCCAATAATGAACGACGTTCATATTTTCAGGTATTAAAAAAAAATAAGTCTAAAGCTGGATATGTTGTATGCAACCAATTACAGAAACTGAAATTAACATATAAAAAAAGGGAAGAAATAGAGAAGGGGGGAAATGTTAAAATAACAGAATTTTCAGAAATCCCACTTACCTGAGGTGTCGATGTGTAAGTGTAACCGCATGGAGAGCAGGACATACTACGACGCCACGATCGTCAGTGCTTAGTCTAGAACAACGTCTAGACTTTTCGATAGTCAATAAAAATAATATCTTTGAACGAGTTTCTTAAACTCAGTCTCTTACACCATCACTTTTCACTAAATACCACTGATTAAGAAATTTATACACAAAACCTCATCTTGTTTAAAGAATTCAAAAAGTTCAATCACAAAATTTTGTAAACTTCACTTTTATAAACTTGGATCCACAGTTTTCGATAACGACTCACACTTGTCGGATCGAGAAGCTGTTTGTGACAAGTTCCTGTAAACAAATACAACCCGCCGTTGTCATACGTTAACAAATTGAATGATTGATGGGCTCATAATTTGCAGCATAGCCATACGGTGAGGAGCAGGAAGGTCCAACAAGTTCATCAAACGATATTTGGGAATGCTAATGCTCCAGAAGGGTGGGCAACAGCTGCGAGAGAATGTTGCGTCAGAGAGCATCGACGCCGAGTCAAGATCCGCGCGTCGTTTCAGTCGACGGCCGTGTGTGCTTCTGCGCGGACTCCTTGGCTTACGAGGTGTGGTGATCGGCCCACCACAGTGCTAGAGTGGAGTTGTTAACATGCGTGCGAGCAGCGCTGCGAGATGTGAGAGAGAAGGTGAGGGTGAGGTGAACAATCGTTTGGCGATCCCGAAAAAGGCGGTGCGTTGTGATGTGCGGCGCCGTGTTTGGCTCCTCCTCCAGAACGCACTCGATTGGCATGCGACGAAACTCCGCCTCGTATTTTTTTTTTTTTATTTTATTTTAATAAAATCATTCTGACATCTTCTGTCGCTACGTTTCACCTCCTCTACGCAAAATCTTCAATGAACTGCGGTAGCTACAAATGTTTGAAACCATCTGACAACATTGGAAACGCATGAGAAAAAGAACTGTCATATTGCTCCTCGTTCATGGACCAGATAGATGCAGGACCAACGATTTGAAGACCAAGCCAATGATGTTCTTGATTGAGTTCTTTAAAAACTTGAATTATCATTTCTCATGTAGTAAAAGAAGAGCATTTTGCTATCGCCTGAAACACATGAAAGGTTTTCCAGCACCGCCTACCTATTTCTGAAACATGTAATGAAGGCATATTACGATTTTAACTTGAAGCTTTTAATAGGCTCATCCCAGAATCGCTTGAAAGACTACAGTAAATGACTCGAATGAAATCTGATCACATAAATCAAACATCAACGTAATAATAAGATAAGCACAAGAAATTAAATAACATAAATTTTCATACATTAGAATTCATATGAATTTTAAAAAAATCAACACACGGCTATTTAAGAGAGGATCGTAACAATCACTGCATATGTAGAAGCACTTTAAAAGCATTTCTTTCTTAAAATTCTCTGCGGTTTGCTTTAAGATATTTCTATATTTAAAAAAAAAGAAAAAAAAAAAAATGTATTTGTGGAAAATAAACTTTAGGAGAAATAAAGAGATAAATTACTAAACTTGCCGTCTTGCATTCCATGCTGTCATTTTTATGTTATGCTTACGTATTTATGCTGTATCGTCTTTAAGATAGACTTAGAAGGGACTCACATTGCACTGTGAAAAGTAAATCAATTAAACAATCAAATGCATGATACGTAAAGTAGGAGGTAGGAAAAAGAAAAGAGAAAATCAAAAATTGAATGTTTCCTACGGAAACAAATTTTCATAGTCACACATGATAAAAAATTGAAATAAGGTATTTGAAAATCGCCAATTCTACGAAAGGAACGTTTCTTGATTACATAGCTATTTAAATTCATTTATTATATAAACATAAAACCCCTTTTTATTTATAAAAATCAAACCTTTATAGTTTGAATACAAATAAAAAAAATCTTAAAGGTTTCAGATTTTTAAATTACGTCCAAAGTGGCGTTTTTTTAACATTTTGTGTGTTACTTTTATTTATTAAATATCATGTTCTACGTACTCAAGCCATTGAATTCAGCTCAACAGCAATACCGCAAAATAATTTTAAAATGAGCATACCTTTAGAATTTCCGATACAGAGTGCCGCGCGTTGGAGATAAAAATGGTTTTTCTGTACAACGTTACCATTGCTCGCGTTGAAATCGTTGAGTTTGTTAATCAAAAATTCGTTAAAGTTTTACAAAATATGAAATCGATAATAAAACAAATTCCAAATTTCAAATTTGGGCTTCCAAATGCCCATATTCGCAGGAGGATTACGTTATTCATAATTTTATGACTCTGGATACCGTTGTTGTTTTATCACAATGCGAGAAGTATACATACATTTATGCAGATTCTGCATTGTTTAATTTTTTTAAATATAATACAGGGCGATAATATTTGGTGGCAACAGTTTGAAATGTGAAACAAGCTTATAGTGAATCGACGCAAAATACCGAAACGAAATTAATAGACCTTCTGGGAAAATTGCACCTTTGGACTAAAAAAAAAAAAAAAAAAAAAGAAATACATGCTGTTGTCATCAGTATATAGTACGATGTATTATACAAGGTGTTCTTTTTGCATATGTAATGCAAATAGAAAAAGTTTCCCTTAAAAAATTCTCCACGGAGACATATCTTACTATATATTAAATTAGCTCTTGCAGGCTTTTACGTAACTAATATAATCCAATACAATTAATCTAGAGGATAAACGATTTGATGCCATATTTGCTCGCAATAGTGTCTTATTTTGTCATGATTTGAATTTTTTTCCTAAGTGAAAGTAAGAGTTTCTTTAATCATGTGTTAAAAAGTGAATAAAATATCCTTACGTAGTTAGTAATATCGTATTTATAATATAACTGAGATAATAGGTGAGTAATCAAAGTATAAACTTGTTTGATTTCTTCTTTTGACGTTAGTTGACCACGATTTGGAAAATATTCAAACGTAATTAGTGAAACATTTTCAAGTTTATTTTGTTTGGAAATATTCTGTTGATTCTATGACACATAAAGTTTCTGATTCAAGTAAAATGCAATAATTATTGACCGTTCTTTAGTGTTTTAGATTTGTTTGCCAAATTTTTATGTAGAATTTAGCTGATCAGAATAATAAAAATATGTATACAATCGCATCGGAACGTGTTACAAAGCGATGGAAGTCACAAAATTAAAGCAATGATAAAGACTAATTCAATCCGGAAATTAGAAGTTTTGAAGATAAAAAATTATCATTATTTGTTTCATGACTGAAGATGATGAATCACCAATTCAAAGAACAGATTACTGTTAATTAAATTTACAGTAGAAACTGAATAACGCGGCCTAGAGCTTTAAAGCCCTGTGGTGACGGAAATACATGTATAAAGTTTACTTCCTGCTGGGAAAAGGAAATGTTTATAACAGCATACTGCTAACCAGCAGTCCTATAATGTCAACCGTCGAATAATACTCATGTTATATATTTTTCATATTATAAACTGTATTCTTAGACTACCTTAAACTAGACCAATGTTTTCGGAAGCTTTTAATATTTGATGACCCCCGTCTGTATATTTGCTTTGAGAGGGGGGAGACGAAAGGAAAGGTGTTATTTAGAAGAAAATAATGTAATAATTAAGTGCTATTATTTATAACCAAATTTTATTTTTAAGAAAATAATGGATAAATTAATTAATATTTACTGTTCAATGCAGTAAGAATTGTGAAATAAGATTAAAATTAACTAAAACTAAGTATTAAAAAAATCTCTTTCAGAACATTTCACGATCCAGGAAAAATTTAGACTCATTTAGTGGCTACTGAATTGCGATTCCCACTTTATGAGCTATTGAGCTACAAAAAAAAAATAAATAAATAAAAAATAAAAAAAAAAAAAAAAAAAAAAAAAATTATTCTTTAGAAAAATCATAAGGAAGAGAAAAGGTGCTGGTAACATGCTTGTAATGTGCTTGTTGTATTTCAGTTTATTCAAATTTTTTAGCCTCACAACCTACATGCGATACTAACAGCGATTAGACAGGGAAAGGAGAAGAGAAAAACAGAGAAAAATTCCTGGAAGAAAATAATATAACGATAAGGGGTAAAACATAAACATAAATAACTATTAATAACAATTAATTGACAACTGTAAATTAATTCTTAATCTGCTGGTACATATATTCACAGCTCTTTTGACCGCTCTTTTTAAAGATCATTCCATGACTAAGATCGGTTCTTTCTGATGAGAGTATTTTAAATCCATTTTCGCTACAGCGATCATGTTTGCTCGTTATAATATCCTTTGGCTGGAAGAAAGAAGGAATCGTTACACCGAGTCTTCAAGTACATATATAATTATAAATTTTTTTAAAAAAATGCACATCAAAAATCTTTAGTCCCCATCAAAATTTTTCGCCCAATCTATTTGTAAATCCCATCTCACAGTTTTGAAACCACTATCATATGCATTATTTACTGATACTAAATTTTACATCTTGTCTTTCTGCACTTACATCATTTTGATTTTATAACCTTCAAAGCACTGTAGATGTTACATGCTTTATTAATATTGCTCATGAAAAAAAATGTAACAGGTTTTGTATATTTTATATTAAAGTAATCTACTTCCTACCCATCACTCGTAGTTCCTTTCCAAAATGCTGAAATTTTCCGAAGCCTTTCCTTAGATATTTACGGAAGGACATGAATGCACAAATGAGCTATGGTGTTACCGAATCATTAAAAAATTAAGTACATTCGAAATAAAGAATACAAAATTGTTAACTAAAATAAGATATATATTAATAATAAACTGTTAGACTATTCTGTTAGCAGACTAGGTTATCATACTTTAGCGTTATCTGTTAAAGCTATGTATGCTTTTAAAGGTATTAGTATAACCACAAATCAGTGCAGTTCTATGCTTTCAAAAAGTATATGACTTGCTGCGGCTAGTCAGAGACAATGATCCTTTGACTTGTGACTCCTAAGGGTTTGTCCCTTGATGGTCCATGCCAGAGCAGTTCTTCTTTCCATAGGCGTTTTTCTTTTGTTGTAACAAAAGGTCTAAGTGGTGTAAAATGGCCTTGTTTTGTGACTAAAGGTAATAAGAGGTCTCTGAACAATTACGTTAATAGTGGTGAGGGACTCATAAACATTTACAAGGTAACAACTTTAACCACACCTCCTGACATGGTTATTTAAAGCCACTTTTATTTCCGATCGAGCTGCCGCAAGCTACATCGATTGCTTAAACCAAACACAATATGGTTTTCAAGAAGAAATTTACTATCTGTCCATTCGAAAAGGCAAAATTTGTTCGTTATCTGGTTACTCTTTTTTTGTCCTCTAATAATTTGAAGAAAGAATGCGGTTTTTCATTTTGCAACTCGAGAGAATAAACTACCTCAAAAGAATAGCTTCCATTTGTAACTTCGGGTAATGGAATCGTTTTTTTTTTTTTTTTTTTTTTTTTTTTTTTTTTCAGAAGCAAAAAAAAATTTTTTTTTTCCTTTGCCAGCAAAAAGATTCTATCGAGTGTAAAATCCGAAATGGTCCCCCCTCCCATTGAAATGAAACGCTGTATTATATAAAACTAAAAATGAATAGTGTGCTCCTTTGAAGCATAGCAATTTCTTGGAATATTTTGAAAAGTACTATTTTAATAGGGAAATG